CCCTTACTTGTCAAACATAAACAGAAAAAAGCTTTATTAAGAAATGGCGAGATATATACACAAAAACAGCCACTTCTTCTTTACAATGGACCCTAAAAGAATTATATAAATGTCTTTGCTGGCCTGTATATTTCAAGTTCGCCTCGCGCGGTTGTGATCGGAAGCCCACATGAGAAACCAATTTTACCTAAAATAATGAGACAAAAAAGCTTTAATACTATAAACCATTGAATTTAAACACTCATCATACCCTCAAGAGATAATATTTGTGTTTTGATCAGAGAAAAAGCGAATTCAATTCAATTCGCAGGACTTGGCATAAAGAAATTGAAACCTTCGCCTGGCATCTTAGGGGAGAAAGGGCAGAAAATGCGATATTTCGAAACGATCAAACCCATAAAAATCGCGAGGTCGAAAGAGGTCGGAGCGTGGAACTAGTATCAAGCACCCCTTGTCCGCCGATTTAAATAATTTATTAGGGTAAAACCTTTCTAGAATAAAGACAGTTTTCGATAATTGAAAGTCATCTAAATAACTATTCTTTTGCGAGTCAAAACAGCATGGCTTAACAGGGTCTTAAACGAGAGCAATAATGCGTGAAATGACTATGGAAACATTTTACATCATCAATCAGATACCAAAGATTAACAGGGCTCATTGAAACTTATCTTGGATGAGCTGTATCTTGAAATTCAGGTCGTTGAAAATCTCCCTCGAAACCTTCGAACGCTCTTTCCAAGGCGGAGAGAAGACAGAAATTAGCCGCGAAGCATCATGGGATATATGAAATTCCCCCCTTTACCTTCGGTATTAGAGTTGTCAGTTAGGTACTCTCACAGAACAAGATTAAAAACAAAGTAAACATTCAACCAAGTGTCATTTACTGACCTGCACGAGCAAGTAACGTTTCATTTCACTTTCCCAACGATGGATCGTCACTGAGGCCATACATTTCCAGGTGTCTCGTGATGTCTCGTTCGGTTTTAGAAAGAGGTATACATTAGTGTTGACCAGGAGATTCCTACCCTGGGTGCCAGAGACTTTTCATGCGCGGTTTCCGGTTTCGGTCAAGTCTTACAAGTGACCCGCGCGAAAAGCCACCGGACCAGAGCGCCATCCCTTTGATAGCACCGAGCCAATTACCTTCCCGCTTATACCAAAACATCCAGAATGTGGATGTTTTGCTGATTGGTTCCTTGGAGATGTCGAATGTTTTAAACGCTCTGATTGAATGATATTCACGATAGGCGCGTGATCGCGATGCGGGTGATTTGAACGTAACAAACAAACAACACGCACGTTTCCCCTTTTACTTTGGGAAAATTTAAGAATGGGTAATGCCTATTTATAAATGAAATGGCTGTACGAACGGAAGATTTAGATAAGGCAATAGCCGAAGTCATCGGACCATTCGATGGTGTGTCGGAAATAAGTGCGGAACAAAGAGAGGCCGCATTGCAAATTATGTTCAAAGGAAAGACATATTGGTGGTCTTGCCGACCGGCCATGGAAAATCGCTGCTTTTCCAGTTACCACCTGGCATATGGCGGGCGCTTAATACGATGGGATATACGTCTTACCCTAAGAAAGCTATTGTGTTAGTTATTTGTCCGTTGAACGCGCTTATTGAGTCGCACATGAAGGAGTTGCGATAGAGAAGCATTTCGTGTGCATGTCTTTCTGGAAACGATGCCGACCAAGATGGCGCTTACAATCGTGATTACTCCGTCGTTTTTGCCAACCCCAAGGTCCTTATTCTTAACGAGAAGTGGAGGAAAATGATTCAGACGCCTGTTTATCAGACCAACCTGTTTGGAATTGTCGCAGATGAGGCTTATGTTATTCCAAAATGGTGAGTTTTATGTTTATCGTTACTTGTTTACTTAAGTTCTGTGCGACGGTATCGGACCTGTTTGTTCGCTCGTCACCGTTCGCTCGAGCTCTCTCTTGATCTAAAAAGCCCGAACCAATTTATATGTCTATTTATTCTTTGTTTTGTCTGAGGAAAATGGTTACTTCTGAATAATAAACTTATTAGTAATGGTATGATTTTCGTACAACTCCATGCAGTTATAATGCATACATGTTTTGAGTCTGGTCATAATTAATAATCTTTTTTGTAAAAAAAGCATGAAATTTCTGTATCCATAATGTAAATTGTACTGAATTCATAACATTTTTTATGTTTAAAAATTCTAAATATCTTGATTGAAATATTTTTACTGAAAGTGTTTTGATTATAATAACTGTTGCATTATTTTGTCTGCATGTAATTTTTTATTTTTTATTTTAAATTTTGTTTGGGCGGTTCATTGAGTCTTAACTTTGCTCATCAGTGCCTAAATTTGTGTGTATAATAGCGGAGCTCCCGCGCGCGCTTTGTGCGCGCGTAGCGGAGCACCATGGGTAAGAACATTTGGTAAACTATCCATCCCAGAAAATTTGGTTATGACGTAGCGTACGTCCGTCCGTACGGACTTTCCGGGTAGTGGAAAGTAGTCCGCATGGACTGTTGGGGTAGGGGAAAGTAGAGATTTTTTGGCGGGAAATCGCATGGCGCAACGCGTTAACGTCGCGCAATTATATCGCGCAACTGGTTTTGAAAAAAAGAAAGCAAGTAGAAAGAGTCAGAGCGAGAAGAAGGAGAGAAAATTATAGTGAAAAACGCCGGCAAGCAGAACGAGACGGAGCTAGAATGAACAGACAAAGGCAACGCGAAAGAGAAATACAAAGGCAAAGAGAACGGCAGCAAAATAATGACATGATGACAGAAAGTGTTGTGTTAATGTCACTATGGCCCCGCGCTATTAACATTTTGATTTCAAACTGATCTCGGACTCGAAAATTCAGCCAGTAATTTAAAAATACAAGCGGGGAAGACAGAGGCTTTTCACTTTTCTCACCATAGTCACACTCTACGACCGTCCAATTTTTATGCTCTGATTGGTCAAAATTTGACAGGTGAGTTCATGCAGAAACTGATTTATACAGCATCTTGAACCTTGTTTACTTTCAGTTTGACAGCTGAAGCTGACAGAGTATTTTGTCAACTTGTAATGTTTTTTACTGTATTTTTCCACTGGATGCTTAAAATGAAATACAGCTGCTATCAACAGTCTTCTTTGGATGCATCGCTTTCGTTTTTACCTTGCTGGATGCGGGTTGAAAAGTCCCTCAAGCGATTCTGGCCTTACTTTATAGCTTTCAAGTGCTGCATCTCGAATGGTAAGCCTAAGTAATTATTGTATACAGTGTATGTTTGTTTTTTTATCTCTAATTTCATGAAGTCGAGCGCAGTTTATGAGGCTAATTTATGTCTGAGGCTAATTTATGCACGTCTGAGGCAATGATCTGATCTAGTATATATAAGCTTACAGAACTTTAAAAAGCCTTTAGTCGATATTTTCTCTCCGCATATAGAACGAAAAAACGTTCCGAAGAGTATTTAGTTATAATTTTGGCTGTAGAAAGAAAGCTTTGAGCGATTTTCTTGCCTCGAGTTCATCTTTGAAAACAGTAAACACCAGGAAGCCGGCTAAAAGCTTTAAGCTTAAGCTTAAAGACTAAGGATTTTTAGAGACGCTTTAATACTTGTCTTCGTGAATGAAAATTGTTGTCTCTGTAAATGTTTCACCGAATTACATTTCTTTTATTAATTGTTAGTAGTCTCTTATAATTTTAATCGCTTTGCCGTTTGTTTTCAGTCGTTCATAAACAACGCTTGCAGGAGTACTCAAAATGCTGCTCGTATCAAACGCTTTTTAAGATTACACATCGTTATAAAACCATTTAATAAAAAAAATAAACACAATAAATTCTTTATTATGTTGAAGCGCGTAACTCTTTTAATGTTCACTGAAAATTTGGCGCTTGTCAAAAGTGAGAACCGGCTGGCCGTATAGGTGATTTTGGAAATTTTTGGAACGGTTTTGCTAAAAGCCCACGCGTGCTTCGTACGGTTCTGAATATTGAATGAGTGCAATTTGTCTTGAAAAATTGTGAAATACTGCATTTTGTCTGAGGTCTATATGATAAAAACAACGCCTCATATTACTGTTTCAGATGTGATGTATAAAAAGTATGAAATGTTGGTTTACACGCTCCCAGAGTTGTTGGCAAGATTTTGTTAAGTAAACTTGTCGAACGCAAAAAATTCGGCCTGATTTGTTTTCCAAAAATTCGTTTTCCAGGCCTAATCTACTGTGATCAAGAGCCATTATGGCTTTAAAATGTGATCGAAGATAATTGCTATTTTTTGGGTGTATATATACGGCTATCAATTCGATGTAAGATTTTTTTTCACTCTAAAATCACTTAGCCTTAGCTTTCCCTTAAAGTTAACTGATTTGTGGATTACAAGTTTATTGTTTGATTTAAATTATAAATTTATTAATGGGAGCTTCGCTTTAAGCCCTGGCTAAATCTATATATTAATAATAATGATAATAATAAGAATAATAATAATTGTTCAACTCGTAGGGGCTATGAGAACAAAGAAAAGTAACAAGCTTTTCGTGCTTGCTCCAGTCGATAGGGTGATCTGCGTACCCCTTGCTCCATCTGAGACACCTTTTACGGCACTCACAGCAACAAGTCAAACTAGACAGAAGATCCTGGAAGGTCTCAGTTTGAAAGATAACCTTAAGTGCATTATAGCCAGTCCAAACAGGCCGAACATTTACTTATAATGTATGCTGCTAAAGTAAACAAGGAGCTGTTTGAAACATTTGGATGGCTTATTGAAAAATTAAAAGACGAAAAGCAGTCATGCCCCAGAACTCTAATTTATTGCAAAACTACAAGAGTGCGGGCAGTCGTTTTCTTTCTTCAAAAACAACTTAAAAGAAGATGTTTATATAAACAGTGAGCAAGACTCTAGAAACATGGTGATTGGAATGTTCCACCACAACACATTAACAAAACATAAACACCGTGTAACAAGTCCTCTGTATGAGCCAAGTGGGATATGAAGAGTTGTTTTTGCCACCAATGCACTTGGT